AATATTTATGTGTTAACCTACTGATCGGGTCGACGAACTAAGTCAATAACCATGAGCCTTGACCTCAGAGACTATGCGATCTGCAGATGTAGCTTATATGAAATAATGGTTTGAACAGGTATTAATACAATTTTTGCACATGATAAATTTAAAGTCAAGGTAAATATATACACAGTAATAAAGATTTTTTTAAAATTTTGGTTTTTATTGTATCGGAAATTGCTCATTTCAAGTAAACTTTATCTGCATATGGTTTTCGAGTTATTGAGAGCAGCTTGTTCGAGAATATATATACTTTAAAATGTGGGATATAAGTCAATAAATAAATATATGAAAAGAAAAGAAAACTATAAAATATCTATCGCTTTGATTTGAATTAATTTATAAAATATTCTTAAATGAGTATTTCCGTTAAGTGGTTAGCTACTGTAAATCTATTTTGTTCTTTTGTCAGATACCAAGAAAGACATCCGGTTTGCATGCAGTGCATACTGACAGCTTGTCAATTCAAAGTACATCGTTTGTAGACCTCTTCTAGACCCCAGCCAAACAAACTCCTTGAATGCGGTCTGTCGGTTTATCGGGTTGTTTGGAGCAGCAAAACGTGCGGTGACTTAGAAAAACCGCAAATGAGTTTCAACTGCCGACAACTCAACGTTTTGCATTTCTGCATAAGTGCTTAGCTGCTGCTGTTGTTGTTGCTGTGGGCGTTTTTAAAATAGGCATGCGGATAGGAGCCATTGTCATATATCATAATCAAGCGGCTGCTCGGCTTAACTGTGCACATCATAAACACGGCTGAGAGCACGAAAATGCATATTTGACATGGCTGACACACAAATCAAGTTCGTTGCCTGAGTCGTTTGCATGTAGGTGAAGCAAAAAAAGAGGCAGAAATTAAATAAAGCCCAATTGAAATAAAAACGAACTTGCATAACGGAGACGCAGAAGAGACCACCAAAAGTGAACATTACCCATCTACCTCTATATATAGGTATATGTATGGATATGCACATGTATATGTGAATGTGTGTGTGTAAATGGTGTATATACAAAAATAGATTGAAGCCGCTTGGCAGCGCTTAACGAGTGCCGGTGAAAAATGAAAATCAATGACAGTAAAAGACAAATTGTGCACCAAGCAAAAACGGACAAAACAAAGGAGCAAAGAACTGAAACTTCGAGTATTTTAAACGGCTCACAGACTGCAAACAACAACAATTGCAACGGCAACAGCAACAGCAACAGCAGTTCGAGCTGCAAGCAGCATAACGAACTAAAATTCAAGGTTCAAGTCAGTAACCCTATAGCCAAGTTCTGGCCCCCTCTTAACTCTCAGTAAAAGTAACAATAAAAGCAATGTCTGGAGCCAAAACATAAAACACACAAACAGCCACACACACACACACACACTCATACACAGAAAAGATGAGAGCATTTACGAGCTTGCAGTAGTCAGGCAGTCAGCAGGCAGGCTAGAGTTGGTCTCTGTCTGCACTCAGAAAAAAATCGACCTAAGTTTTAGAAATATGGCATACTTTTGGCGCCTAAGCTAACTCACTTATTATTCTGATTTTAGGGTACATTTTTGTAAAATTTAGAAGAAATATAACTAATTTCAGGGTGATTTTTCATATTTGTATAAAAAAAGCTCTAATATTAGCTTTTTTTTGTTGCCAATATTATTATTAAACATTAGTTTAGATTAGATTTAACATTTACTAACATATTAGATTGTTTAAAAAATGGATATTATTTTTAATTTGAAAAACATTTGAGTGACTTCCCGAGATTTTTTCTAATAATCAGGGTTTGCATTTCAAGATTTTAGAAATGCTTTTATTAATAACATAAATATAAAAAAATATTACTAAATTACAGGAAAACGCAACATTTTTGTTGATTTAGGGCAAGCCTTTCCAATTTTATGAAAATTTTTTACTTGTATTTAGAAATTGTGTCTAATAACAAGAGAAATGTTCTAGATTTCACGTAGATTTTCTAAAATGCAGGGCGTTTTTTCTTCAGAGTGTGGGGCTAAAAACGAACTAAAGCTGGAACTCTTCTATTTCTTAACGCTAAATTGACGTTCGTTGCATGCGGACTCGAGCAGAGCCAAAGGCACTGTTTCTTATTGGAGCGACGACATCTTCGGCTGCCTGCCTGGCCCTGAAGACCTGTGCCGCCTTTATGCTTATTACCACGCATGCATGACAGGCCCGGTGCGCCTAGGCACACACTGTTCTGGACTCCTCTCATCCCACTCTCCGGCTCTCCTGGCACTCGATTTGCCCCCATGGGGGCCACATTTGCAGCGGTCGTCAGTTGTTGACTTGCGGGTGTTTTTTCATTGGTTTATGTTCTTTTTTTTCTCCCTGCTTTGCCGTGAGTCAGTGGCGGGACTCTGGATCCGTATGAAACATAATGGATAGCGCTTATGTTCAAGAGTAGTACCATTTATTGTTACGCAGTAAAACGAGTAGTTACGTGTTGCAGCTGCTAAGCAAAAAGAATGTGTAAATTAAATGAAAACTACAATCCAAGTTGTTAAAAGAGAGTTATGTGTAAATAACAATGAGCAGTTAACATTCATTTCGTGTCTCACGACCCGATTTACACTCGATGTTAAAGGTTTAGGAAGAAAAACTTTAATATCCATACTTATTACATAAAGCATGTGCATATGATATAAATTGCTACGCAGCTAATAATATATCAAATGCAACCTAAGAAATCGTTAATTGGTGTTCAACATATAATTTATGCCCTAAAGTGGCTCTACGCTAATTTAAAAATGTAAGGAAATGTGCTTAAATGATCTCAAATATTTTATTTCCGCATTTGAACTTTCGTTCACTGGACCCCAATTTTTCTTAAAGCGGATTGAATTTCCTGATAAAAGTAGCACAAGAAAAGAAAAACGTTTCTCCACTTTAATAAGTACTCCAAAATACAATCTGACTTTTGTCCTATTTCACAAATCACTGTGAAAATTGTAGCTATGTACAACTTACAATCTAATTCTAACAATAATCAATTGTAAATTGTTTATTTTTATATACTACTTGTATATTGAAAATAGAATCGAAGATTTTCAATCAATCAATTTCTTCGGTTCATGTACTGCGTGTGTTTTCAAACATTAAGTCAATTCGACCAAAATGATACAGATTATACTTCAAGAATTAAACTAAAAGCTCAATTAATTTGAGCCGTGTTTAGGCCTTAAACTATTCGATTAACTAAAGTTGGCATTAAAGAATTAGCTTTTAATTCAAATTGCTTGCCTTAGCTAGAACAACTTAATATCTTTTGGAACCTCTGTACGACGAGTGAGTCAAGTGTGTAGCGTTTGTTGGAGTTCTTGTTGCTGTTGTTGTATAATACAAGCTGAAGACCCCTCACTAAAGTCATCATTTATTTATGACTTGAGCTTTGCGCCCCGAAACCATGCCCGAAAATAAAAGTAATTATATAACAGCGAAGGAACGGAGAATACCCAGACACAGAAACACATAATAACAACAACAAAAGCCCCACAAAAGAATAACAACTTGCCCAGGTCTCAGCTCCGTTCGTCTTTCCTAAGCGCGTTAAAGCAAAGTATGAAAAAAGAGCTCTAAAGAAATAAAAAAGAAGAGAGAAGAAAAAAGAAAAAAAAGAAACAAGAATATCAGAAAAGATGCGGCTGACTGATATTTTGGCATCGCGGGCTTTGTCCGTCCGCCAAGGTTTCCAAGAATGGCGGGCCGCAGCCCGATGATTCAGCTGGCTGGCCGAGGAGACGCAACCGCAGCTTAATGAATACCTTGCTGATTCTGAGGAACTGATGCTGCGTCTGCTTCTGGCTCTGTACTACGGTGTACAGCCAAACATAAATTGCGAGTAGCTTTCAATCATGGCGTTGCAAATGATGCTGCCAATGATAGAACGCGTGAGATATTTCCAATACGAGTAGGTTATGTTTTTTTGTTCTTCTTGTTTTTTTTTGCGCTTTCCGCTAGTCTTGCGCAAAAATTCTTGCAGATGTACCGGTACCGGTAAATGTGGGCCAGCTTAGCGAATTCATAGTCAGCTTAAAGTTTATTTACCCCCTTCGAATGACTGAATGAGTTAGTTCTAACTGTGAGTTGAACTCTACATAGATCATCGAAATTGCCAATAACTTTTCGCCGTGCTAATTGAATAGGAAATATTCGTGCATATGATCATTTTATTCCACTTAACATCTATAAGCTAATAGAACTCTTTTGTAGGCAAATGTGTCAGTAAACTGGCTAGTGCAAACATTTTTCAATATTTCACATATACATAAAAAAGCTTTTCTTGCTAAAAAATTCTAGTTGTGAAATTTTCATGAATCATGAAAACTTCAACAGTAATCAATGAGTGCTTGCTAAATAGCTGAATGTATTGTGTTCTGCTATCATTTATGTATTTCGTCTATTACAAACTGCATTTTTATTGCGTCTTATATACTTATGGAGAGGGAAGCTAATACCTGGTTTTTTTGTTTTGATTTATAATGTACATTTATAATGCAATAAGTAATTTTAAAGGGTGTTCGGTTAAGTGCTTTATTGCATTTGGGCATCAGTTAGCAGCAAAATTTAAATTGCTTAGCGACGTGATTACTTAAAAGGTTTCTTAGTATTTTTAGAATACATTTAGTGACAGAAGACAAATATTGCATAATAATGGGTCGTAAAAGCAAAGTTATTGTGGTCTATTGACAGGAGATAAACGGTGCATAATAATCGGTTATAAAAACAAAGTTATTGTGGTCTGTTGATTTCACAACACTTCCAAAAAATATTATAAAATTTAAATGTGAGCAGCTGGACTCAAATCTGATGCTTACCATAGATTGCTGTGCTCGCTCGTTATTGTTTCAGATTGGATAGAGAAACTACCGACAAAATTGGATATTTAACATTTCTGCCACTGTTTATAAAAAATATTGCTATAATAAAACCAATATCGTTTTTGTATAATTGCAGAACAAACCACAATGCCGGCTGCAGTAGTTGTTAGCAGCATTACCAACAGTTCGGATGGGGAGGAAACTACATTGCGTTCCACGAGCATTGAGCCCATTACGTCCACGGAACCAACAACTACGCCGCGTGTTGAGAGCGAAGCTGCCGAACAGCCGCTGATTGTCCATCACACGGAAGCAGATCACACGCACATCCAGCACATTCCATTGCGGGATGAGCATGCAGAGAATGTTGGCGATGATCCCACCACGGAGCAGCAACATCTACACGAAGAGGAACGAGATCAATTGCAGCATCAGCATCAACAGAATGAGCTGTTGCTCAATCAAATTTCCAATGAGAGCGATGATAATGATGCCAAGGATTTGAATAATTTCCGACATCCGGCGACGCTGATAACGGCCAGCAACAGTGAGGAGAATGAGCAGACAACCAGTGAGAATGAAAGTGGCAGCGACAAGTCTGCGATCACAACAACAACAACAACAACAACCAGCACAACAACAACAACAGCAATGCCGACAACAACAGCTGCAGCAGCGACAACAAGTGAATCAGAAGATCCCTATCATGTGCATATACTGTCCGAGAATCATGATCGCCTGGCCGAGCACGAAGATTATCAAATGCTGTCAAGCAGCACCGAGGAGGCCGAGCCAGCAGCAGCAGCAACAACAACGACAGCGACGATGACTACATCAACAACAACTGAATCGAGTGCTGACATTATTGTCAGTATGGAGAACAAGGCAACGGCCCAGTCAGCGGCTGAGACGACATCAACGTCCCGAGCACGCGCCATGAATATGAATGAGCCCGAAAGTCAGCCACAGTCCGAGGTGGAGGCGAAGACGGAGACAATGCTGGTGGCTGAGGCAGAGGGCACCACAGTCATGCCGCAGCACGAACTGGATGCGGTTACAGTGATTAACATTGTTGAAGGACAGCATTATGTGCAGCACCCAAACGAGGACGAAACGAGCCGCACCAGCAGCAGTAGCACAACAGCAGCAACAACAACAACAACAGCAGCAACAACAACAACAACAGCAGCAACAACCGATTCGCCATTTGTGGTGTTTGCCGGTGAGGGTCGCTCGGCGGGCGGCAGCGATGAAGATGCTGATGTGCTGTTCCGTCACAATGCTACAAAGATGCACGAGGCGCTTATGGATCTCAGCAATGTCAGCATGGACGAGGAGCGCACTGAGATAATTACAACTACTGCTGCATCTCCATCTGCATCTGCATCTGCAACAACATCAACTTCCACTGCGACTCCAACGACAACATCGACAACGACTCAACCGGAAACGGAAGTGCCAAAAATCGTGGAAATCACAGCCAGCGGCGATACGATGCATCGCGAATGTTTGGCCAACAACAGGAGCTATAAGGTACGTACACAATTTTGGCTTCATTTGGAAAATCTCACAAGATTGGTCATATTGAGGAAAAAGAGAAACTTACCTTTTGGTTCGTTGCAATAAAAAAAATGGCAAAATGAATCAAAATGACGTGAATCCAATTTTGAGTTATCCATAAGATTATAGAGTCAGTGTTTTGTTTAAAAAATATATACAACCAGAATATAAATATCGAAAAATTAAAATTAAAGTAATTAATTTTGAGATTTTTAATGAGATATTAAGAAGTGCCTAATAATTGTTTTTAAAAAGACTGAGAAAATTTTCTATTAAATTTTAAACATAATACAGTTGAGTTCAGAATAGGAAAGAAATGTGTAAATATATTTTTTGGTGCTATAAATTTTGGTAAGTGCCCCATCTACGGGCAACGCCCATGCCTATGCAGATGTGCACCCATTTGGGAGCGTTGCTTTCATTGTTTTTCTAGAAAACTGCCAGAGGGATACGAGTACGTTTAGTATATGTATATAAGGCCACCTTCATTTTCGCCTTATTTGCCTGCTCAGCCATCTCTTGCACTTCCTGGCACGCAACTGCAATTTGCCTTGTCGTCACTTGATTGCATAATGCTCAACAAGTTTGGGCCACTCATAAAAACCGGTCAACCATTTTTGTCGCAGTCACAGCTGCTATTGCTGCCTTTGCTGCTGTTGCAGTTGCTGTTTGCACTCCAAAAATTATAATTTTGGCTCACATTTCCCTTGTTGTCATTTTTCATTTTTTTTTAATGTGTTTGTTGCTTTTGTTGTTGTTGTTGCGGTTGATGCTTGGGCAAGCAGCAATTATGCAAATATTTGCGCGCCTTAAAATCGGAAAAATGCCACAAATTGCTATCTAGTGATTGATGTTGTTGTCGTTGTCGTTGTCAGTGCCTCGCTTGTTGTCGTTGTATTTGGCCCGGTTGTCTTTGTTGATGTTGGCTGCAGAATCATAATCACCCAGCCCAGCCTCAGTCTGCGCAATCAACGTCGCAATGTATCAATATGTTGGAAATGCCAACAACTTGTTGTGGGTGCATTGGTAGAATAAATATGGCTGTTTATCTATCATCTAATTAACGCCAGCATCTTGTTTTTATAAATTGTTACACGCCTCTTATGCGTCTGTCCGAGTGTGACGTGTTCATCAAACATTGCACCCATGTCTCGCTCATTAAACGAGTCATAAATATACACTCAGAAAAATTCAGCGCAATTTTACCACCTTATTATTCAGAAGCTACATTTCTAAAATTGAACGTTTTGCGTTTCCAAAAACCAGGGTTGGCATTTGTTAATATCAGCGTGGATTTTTATAAAACTTTGACAAATTTTGTCAATTTTTCTATGTGTACATGAAAGAATTCATATATGACGATTTTTATTTTTTTCTGAGTGTATTGCTAGATCGAAAATGAATTGCAGCGTAAGCCAGCAACTGCAGCAGCAGCAATAGCAACGCCTTCGGCTTGCACTACTGACCAACCCAAGCCATTCAGCTGTGGCTGTGGTTGCCGACAGATATTGCTTTCAGTTGGCTGGCTTGCTGTTGATTTTGTTTTAATTAAACGGTCGCTGGGTTTTTATTTTAATACTCTAGTAATAAATTCCTATACGGGTCTCACAAGTTTATTACGTCTTTTGTAATCATGTAATTACGGAAAAACAACACGTAAATGTTTCAATCAGTGTTAGGGTACCTAATCAAACTTAATCTTGAGCATTATTCAATAATTAAGTTTGGTTTTTCTGTAGCTAACGTAAAGTGTAAGTTTTTATACACTAAAATCGGCTGCAAATTCAATGTAGTTATTACATTTTTTTCTTGAATATTTTATATTGTTTTTGCTGTACTTTTCATAATCGGTCTCGATATGGAATCATTTTTGCTTTCACTTTTAATGAATTGTTGTTCGTTTTATTGTTGTTGCTGCTGCTGCTGTTGCTCTGTTATTTCTTAAAAATTGCGATCGATCGACAGCGGACACGTGCAACATGCCAATGCGATGTCGACCGCATGCCACAAATACTTTTTATAGCGGGCAACCAAATGAGTAAAAAATGAGCACACTTCATGAACTATGCGAGTTTATATATATTTATGTATTTATGTATATATATATATATATATATAGTTTAGTATGTCAGCACGATTTGAGCCACAATTACTTTTGCCAGCTGAGTATAATGACTTTATCTTAATGAGCTTAGAGATATAAAGTTCTCCAGAAAGGCTAATGAAATTTGGTAAAAGTGTGGGAAGTGAGCATCCTTCTTGGCTCGTATAAAGTGTATTCATTTAATTGGCATGTTATAATACTAAGCACAATCTTAAGATCAAAGGTTGCAAGACGCTTGCTGCAAAACAAAAGACTCAGGCAACGAGCTTGATTTTAATCGCCTCTATTTCTGCGTGTAGGTCGCGCTATAAGCCAGTTTAACCGGCACTTTGACATATCTGGTTATTGGTGCACACAGACTACGAATCTAAAGTAGAGCCGGAAATGTTTAACAATTTTCGTTAGTCGTCAAATGATCAAATGATTGATGATTTACTCGCTTAGTTTGCTGTGCAAATTGACGCAATTTGTGAGCACAAATGACTTCACCCGCCTTTCACATCACATTTTTTAAGCAGTTGCCACTAGTGCTAAACTGGAGCACTAAATCTGTTCTCATTACATGTCAATTGGGTCGCAATTCTCAAGCAGCCACTAAAAGTAACCCGCTATTATTGGTGAGATTTTTTCAAGAAGGGAAAGCGGCAACAATATAACTCGCATAACTCGACTGTCTCTGAACAACTGAAACTCGTTTCAGCCCATAAATGTATATATATGTGATCGCATACTGCGAGAGTACAAATATTTGTATAAAGTATTACTAAATTAGAGACTTCAAATAAGAAATGTAAGATTAAATTGCTCCACATTCCTTCTAATTGTAAAGAATATAAGACTTATGTTGCTTAGGTTAGGTTAGGTTTGGGTTTTAATATTTATTTATTTCATGTAGTCTAAAAACAGTCAACAATTTTTAAAAAGGTTTCAAATAAACATTTAAGATTATATTTCAAATTAAAGTGATACAGTAAATGATATAAAATTAAATGGAAGTAAAAAATAATACAATAAAAGCAGATTACAAGATTTTGTAGTATATTATTAAATTCCTTAAAGAATCACAACATGTTCCCCTACTTGAGGTCCATTAATTAACTGATCTTATATAAGTATCATACAAGATAAAAAAAAGTGTTGGAATTATTTAGCTGTAGCTTCTCGACCACATTAATTATATTGTGTATTCATTTTTTCCCTGACAAAATCTTGTTTGTTCCCCTTTAGTAGCATTAGTTAGCTACTATAAATAATAATAAATTTACTTACTGTGGTTATTTTTTCATTAGCATGGAGAGAGCATGGAAAGGGACTGCGATGAGCGTTGCACCTGCAACCGTGGTGAGTGGATTTGTGAGCCACGCTGCAAGGGTGCCACATATCCGCGTGGCAGTCAACGCACCATGGCCAATCCACATTGCCACGAGCGCCTAGTGGAGGAAGACGAATGCTGCCGAATGATGGAATGTGACGAACCACTGCTGGAGCCCAGTGTGGCAACATCCGATTTGGGCACCATGCCAACCAATGCATCTGGTGAACAAAACGAAGGTGAGTCTTAGTTTATTTTTTTTCTAGACGGCAATCGATGCTGTTTTTTAGCTTTGCTGTTGCCTTTGGTGCATATGCTTTAATGCTGTGTTTTCTGTGCTTCTCATAAATTTTTATGTGCTTTCCACACATACACACACACACAAAACACCTGCTGACACACACATAAAAACATATTCGACTACCACACACACATGCGTTTAGGGATCACGCCAAAGCCACGCAATGACTGCCATTACCAAGGTAGCGTTTACAAGTTCCGGGAGCGTTTGGAGATTGGCTGCGAGCAGATCTGTCATTGTGACGAGGGTGGCATCATGAACTGCCGGCCCCGGTGTCCGGAGCGCAATTATACGCGAGCGGACAAGTGTGTCTACGTGAAGGATCCCAAGGATGTCTGCTGCCAGCTGGAGCTGTGCGATGTCACGCTCGATGATCATGAGCAACAGCAGCCGCTGGCTCCGATTCCATTGTCGCATGGTGGTCAGAATAGCATTGGAGATGAACATGAACATGAGCAGGAGCGGGAGCGTAGCTTTGGCTTGGAGCAGCAGGCACGCGATGCTGGCGGTGCTGGCGGTGCCACGTCCATTTGCTCATTTAAGGGTATGCAGTATGAGTTGGGTCAACAGTTCCGCGATGGCTGCGAACAGTTGTGCATCTGCAATGAGCAGGGCGTCCACTGTGCCAAGGTCGAGTGTCCCTCGACCTTTGGCCTGGACGTGCTCAATCCGCACTGCATACGCTGGGAGCCGGTGCCGGCGAACTTTAAGCCAGTGGCGCCACATTGCTGTCCGGAGAGCATGCGTTGCATGGACAACGGCACCTGCACATATCAGGGCATGGAATTTGAGAACTGGTCACCCATTCCAGCCAATCTGACGGGTAAGCAATCAACGCATTCCTCATATTCGCATTCAATCACACATCCCTATCACTTGCCCCATGTTGAAGGTTGTGAGAAGCATTGCTACTGCGAAAATGGCAAGGTGGAGTGTCGTCCCGCCTGCCCACCAGTGCTGGCACTGCCTCCGGCAGATTTACCCTGCCATCCGGCACAAGCGCGTCTCCTGCCCATACCCGATGATGAGTGCTGCAAGCACTGGACCTGTGCACCGCTGGCACCCAAGCTAGGTGCCGCCGGTCAGGCGCAGGAGGATGAGGGACAAGATCAACAAAAGCAGCCGGCTAGTCAATCCTCAGCGCCTAATGGTAAATATGGCTTTTAATCGCATAAAATATTCTCATATTTTTTTTTACTGCATGCTGAAATTTTAAGAGGCATTTTTAAACTCTGTTTACACTATATGCGACTTAAGTAAAGACAAGAACATAAAAAACAACTCTTGAATCAACTTATTCGCTGATCGAATATATGTAGGTAAATATAGGAATATTTCGTTGTTAGAAACCCGTAACGAAAACTTTATTTTCGACTTGAATCAAATCTCAGATAACAAGGGCAAATGTAATTTTTATAAACTCGAAATTAGAAATGGTGCCTTATTTTTGCCGGCAATAAATATAAGTAATTTCTTAATTATTTATTATTTAGTAAACATTTTTTAATTTTAAATTCCTTTGTAATTGCTGTAGTGTAAACAGAGTAATTATGTTAATTAAAAAGCAATTGGAAAATGATCGCGAAAACCACTCTTGTTCAGTCAAACAACATTTTAAAGCATATTCATTTATATCGCTCATCTTTTCTCGCATGTTTTCGAAGCACTTTTGGCTTTTCCATTATGATTTCATACTCTATCTATTTTATCGCGCTTTTGCTACTTATTTGCAAACTTTTTTCTCTTTTTCTGTTTCTGTTTCTGCTTATTATTTCTTACATATTATAAATAACGTGATTTTGTGCTGTACTATATTGTATTATTATTTTCTGTGCTCACACCACAAAAAAAAAATCAAAAAAATTAACGCTATGCATTTGTAAATAATTTAAATACCATTCAACATGCAACCAATATCAGAAACAACAACAACAACAACGACAACCACATCAACAGCGACAGCGACAGCAACGACGACAACAGCACCAACTGATAACACAGTGTTCCATGAGAAGACCATGGATCTTGAATATGACAAGAAATCGCAGCTAAATGCCTTTTATCCAACATTGGATGGCAAACCACCCAAATTGGGTGGCGGCGTCTTTGAGAAACACGACAAATTGCACAAGAAGACCCAGCAGCAACAGCAGCAACAGCAACAACAACAGCAGAAAAAGAATGATATCAAGTACGATGTGCACGAGGATCAGCATGAGGACGATGTGAACAATGGAGCACCATTGCCGCCAGGCGGTTTTGTGCCATTGCAGCTGGGTGGCCACTATAACGACTATCAGCAGCAGCTTCAGCACCAACAACAGCATCAGCAACAGCATCAGCAACAACATATTGGCCCCTATGGCTTCTATAATCCTGCGAAGCCCGTCTATGATGCCTACAATCCCTACGAGCCATACGACATCAATCCAAATGGAATACCGCAGGGCAAACCACCACCGGCACCCACTAGTCAATCGGATCTATTCAATATCCTGGGCGCTGAACCGAACGGACAATCGTTGCCACAAAAGGACAATCACAATCTGAGAATTGAACAGATTCTACAGCATTTGCAGCAGAGCGTGCCAGGCGGACCGGGAGCAACATCACAACAGCAGCAACAGCAACATCAACACCAGCAGCAGCAACAGCGACCACTGCCTCCACATTATGTGCCAATTGTGCACAGTGGAGTGCCACCTCCACCACCGCCACACGGCATTGCCATTGTCGATGGTCAGCCAGTGGCATATGAGAGCTATCCGCTGGTACCTGGCCTGGGTGTGCCACCAGGACTGTTACATCCCCAGCAGCAACAACATTCCCAGCAACAGCAGCAGCAGCAGCAGCAACAACAAAAGCAGCAACAACACGAATCACTGCAACAACTGCCAAGCATTATGCCCAGTTCGAGCACCAGCTCTGGGTTATCCACCCAGGCCAGTGAGCACAGCCTGCATCAGAGTCAGAATCAGAGCTCGGACAAGCGGCCAACCCAGCAAGCAGGTTGAGATCCTCACTATTCTAGTCACAATTTTTCTTAGCTTATTCTAGTCTCTCTGTCTCTCTCTTCATGCCGTATTTGGACACACTGCTATACAGATACTACAATATATACACAACGACAGGGTCTTACTGTTTACTAACTGTGACTACTCAAAATCACACCAATCAATCCACACACAAACACGCACACACACATACATTCACATTATCAGTCATCCGCATCATTGTTGCGCTTTTTAGAAATCACTTAACCTTACTACTAATTTAAGCTTTTAATTGGAAATGAGCGAGTTACAGAAAAATTCCAATTCTCTCGATTCCAAGTTTGAACAGATCGTAAGTAATAATTACTTTTAATTTGTTACCAAAAAAGAATCATATCAGTTGGCATCTACTTGAATATTATTAGCGTATACACAAGGTTATTTTTTCTATTCCTCAGGAATAATTATTATATTTTTGATTTTATTAACTCAATCCATAATGATGTTGTTTTTTACTTTTCAACCTGGAATTCAAGAAGAAAAGAGTTCTATCTGATTTTTGGGTTAATGAATATATTTTTGACTTTTAGTAAGTAACTCAATTTTCCCGAGTGAAGAATATAATATATAAAATTAGGAATGTTGAATTTTTATTTAAAAATAAAACTTTAAGTCGAATTATGTTTTTATCAAAGGTATTGATTTTTATATTTTAAAAGTAAACATGTTGAAACTATTTTTATTTTTTGACAAAATTCGATTTTTTGAAACGACTTGAAGCATTTGGAATTTTACTTATACAATTTATTATGATGATTACTTTTGAGTATTATTAAAAAGTTTAATAATTATTTCCTGAGTGAAAAACATTTTTTTGACGATACTTAAATGCGTAAAATATTTAAATTTTTTCAGGAAATAATTATTAAGTCAAAAATAATTATTATTGCGTGAGGAAAAAAAATGTAATTTGATAAATATTCATTAAATTGTGATTTTTATAATATAACTTATAATGACTACGCTCAATGAATAAGATGCTAAAAGTATAAACTAAATTCAAAATTCGATTTGGAATTGGAAGTTGGAATAGAATTAATCTTTGTAACGACAGTCGCTCATTTCGATTTTAAATACATATATATTTTATTGAATCCTTGAGCCATATTTAATATTCCAACTGTCTTTTGTAGGTTTCAACAATCTGCAGCCAGATATTGAGGTGCACACACTGGAGGCCATTGATCCGCGAACGATTCACATTTTATTCACCGTGCCACAGGTCTATGTGAATCTGCACGGACGTGTTGAGATGCGTTATACGAATGGGCCAAGTAATGATACTTCCACGTGGGAGCAACAGATATTTGCACCGCCCGAAGATCTGATTGCCACCTCGGAAATGGAATTCGATTTGCCATTCCTCGAGCCCAATTCGCTGTACAAGGTGAAGATCACACTGATTCTGCGCGATCTCAATACGCAGCCAACGAGCAAAGTGTACACGGTGAAGATGCCAGCGGAACGAGTGATTACGCCACCCCCACATGTATCCGACTACAGACCCGACTTCCAGGATATATTCAAGACCGTCGAGGATCCCGAGCTGAATGTGGGCGAAACGAACTCCACATGGCTGCAGCTCACCTGGAAGAAGCTGGCCGATGAGCAGCTGGAGTATGTGGATGGAGTACAGTTGCGCTACAAGGAGCTCACTGGCATGATCTATTCCTCTTCGCCGCTGATTCACCGCGCCCTCACCAGCTACACCATACAGAATCTGCAACCGGATACGGGCTACGAGATTGGACTCTACTACATTCCATTTGCGGGCCATGGAGCCGAGCTGCTCGCTGGACATATGATCAAGGTGCGCACCGCGCCCAAGGTGGATGTCTACGGATTCGAGGTGACTGTGAATGTGACGAAGGTTAAGACGCAGAGTGTGGAAATCTCATGGAATGGTGTACCCTATCCGGAGGACAAATTCGTGCACATCTATCGCGCCATCTATCAGAGCGATGCCGGCAAGGAGGACTCCAGCGTGTTCAAGGTGGCCAAACGAGATAGCACAACGGGTACCCTGATCATGGACCTCAAGCCAGGCACCAAGTATCGCCTTTGGCTGGAAATGTATCTCACCAATGGCAACACCAAGAAGAGCAATGTCGTCAATTTTATTACGAAACCAGGTGGTCCAGCGACGCCGGGCAAGACGGGTAAGCCACAGTCCTAATTTCGTAGTTGATTTCTTTAAGATGAGCTTTCTGCCATTTCAAGTCTGGCGTGTTTTTGAAAGGATCTATTTGAGCTTTAAGAATCTTGGTAAACTCGTTTTATAAATTTTATGATTGAAATTTAACATCAAAGCTATTTGTTTTAAGTAGTACAATCATTACTTCTATGTTTATGTAAATATTTTAAATGTAAATAGTCACGGTGAATATCTTATGTAAAAACTACTCTCTAAATCAGAAAAAAATATTTACTTTTTTTTACAGAGCCTGTTCTTGAAACTAGATTTATCCAAAATGTTTCCTTAAAAGTTTTCAATATCTCTGAACTCCAAATTTAAAGAAACTATCCCATAAAATCGAATAAGGTCTAATAGTATTTTGGTTCCAGATTGGTTTCTGAATTGGTTGTCATATTTTTTAGGTATTCGGCTTAGCGTTGTGATAAGAGTTGTACAATTAAACTTCTTGAACATAAGTTATCGTTTGCCTTGAAGACAGACACATTTTCATACATACAACTATGTCATACGGTCTTTTGTGGGCAAATAATCTCTGTTCAGATTTTTGGGTATTACAAAATCTAGATTCAATTTTGGGTTGAGACACTAATAAATATTAAAAATCTATTCCAATAGATAGATTTTAAGCGAGATCTTTTCAAAAAAATTAGACCACTATAATTTCACTCTTTTTCTTTGGGGCTATAGCTAAATTATTTATTAAGAAAAGCAGTCTCATATTATTAAACTCTATATAAGAATAAATAATATAATTAGGTTTTTAGTTCTTGACTTAGAAGTGCTACGAGTTCATCGACGGCAAGGGTAGACCCATTTTAAAAATTTCTAGAACATTTTCAAATATAATCAGTGCTTATTATAATAATTACTAGATTTATAAAGTCACTTTAAGCACCATCGTTGAAAGTTGCATGTAATAAAATAATGATTTATTTATTTTAATTAGAAATTATTATTCATGTACTTTTTCATTATACCAGAAATGCTCAACTTCTTATAAATTATTTTGACCTTATCATCGTCGCAGGCAAACTCCTTACCGCTGGGGTTACTGATCAACCCGTTGGCGACTACTATGGTCCACTTGTGGTTGTTTCTGTGATTGCCGCCCTGGCGATAATGTCAACGCTGGCGCTGCTGCTGATCATAACCAGGAGGCGAGTGCATCAAACGGCTTCGATTACACCGCCGCGGAAGAGCGATGCTGCCTACGACAATCCCTCATACAAAGTCGAGATACAGCAGGAGACGATGAGTAAGTGACAACAATCTGTCCAATGACCACCTATATGTATTATAATTTTTCATTCTTCCAGATCTGTAACGGGCCGATGGGCTGATGGGCAATACTCAACTCTCCCAAACTTAGCTTAGAACAATGTTCATGTAAATACTTAAAACAAAAAGAAAAACTCAAACTCAGTGTCAGTAAAAATGAGAAGAAAATGATTTTCAGTTCCCCGGCGCAGGATTTTCAAAAAACAAAAAAAAAAGAATCAAAAATAGAAACGAAAAAATGTCCAGACTAAAAGGCCGCCATGTTGTATGTAGTGATTAAGGAATCTTTTAAACGAACTAAACATTTCTTTTGTTAAACAATTGTAACTTGTGTATATAGAGACTAAATAGAAGAGAACACTGAAAACTCCCAAGAAAAGAAAAAAACCAATTGGCCTCGCCTGGGGCGTGTGAAATGTTTGCGCAATTCTTCTAGCGATTTCTAAATGCATAGTTAGTTTAACTTGTAAATTTTAGCTTTACACGTACATAATATATATACCGTAATTTAAGAGCGAACAACAGCAGTTCTTCAAGTAACAGTCCATAAATATTTAAAATAGCTTGTAAACGTACAGAGATATGCAAACTTATGAATAAATAAAATATTAAAAATTATAAAGCTGGCCTTCTTTCTTTTCTCATAATTTAAACATACCCATTTAATACATAAACAAATCATTCCAATGGGATATATGCCCAGTGTGTATGTATATACCTAGATACTAAATCCGATTGCTTGTATATATTTTTTGATTCTTTATTCTGTTCATAGTTGGAGCAATAGAGACTTGCAAAATATTTGCAGAATTTTAATGCTTTTCCATTAAGTTTCAAAAATCACATTTGTTTATCGTTAACGAACTATATTGAAAACGCTCGATAAAATATTAAGAAAAATATATATGTATATTTTTGTTGCTTTTTTTTTTTTTGTTTTGGCCATGACTTGTATGACATTTATACAACTTTAACTGGTAACTTGTAGATTGACTTTACATATTTTATTTCAATTTGCTTGCAGCACCAACAACATATAGCCTTATGTATGTATGAATATACAAAATGCACAACTAGATTTCGGTTTGAAGAATTCAAAATTCAAAATTCAAATTTTCGTACACTAGTGTCACACTAAATGCTAATGTTTTTCATTTATATTTAAGGGAGAATTGTAGAGCAAAAAGATAGAACAAAAATAATAATATTTATATATGTATACATATATATGCGAACTTGCATTTGGCATGAAATATTCTTTGTGATTTTGCTTTAGAATCCTTGTACACATTAATAGTTAAATAGAATTATTTTTTGTTTTTGTTTTCGTTTGTTTTTCATTTTTTTTTCGCTTGTGTTCAAAATTTACAATTTGCGTGTGTGTGTGTGTATTTTGTTTGATTTGTTTTCGTTTCTGTATTTTTAACTCTTACGTTTAGCTTTCGCATAAAAGTAATCACTGTTTAGCCTCCGTTCATTGACATTAAGTGGATTGGGTTTGGCTTGGCGGCATCCTTGGCTTGGCTTGGCTTAGGCATGGCTGGAAAGGCAACATGTGGAACGTTCATCTGCTTTATTTGGTGCTCGTGCTGGCGCTGATGCTTGCGGCTGCCTCACTGTTGCTGGTGCACTGCTCGATGACACTGTTGCCCTCCGCATCGCTAGTGGTTGTCGTCGATGAGTTGCTGTCGCCATCATCATCATCATCATCATCGTCGTCGTCATCATCATCATCATCCTCATCATCGTCCACCTCTGATTGCTCCTCTTCGCCATCATCGACATCCGCTTCATCGCCCTCGTCCACAGCATACACATCGTTCTCAATCAGGCGCAAATCCATGCTGTCAAAGGAGTCCGTAATAACGCTATCATCATCCGTAGTGGTCTCATCCTCCTGACCAGACGTATCGTTATCCAGATCCATGTCATCATCACCCTGATTGCTCTGGTGCTGCGTTGGCGATTCACTGCCGCTGCTCGCATCGATGCGCATCTCCTGCATCAGTTCGTGGATCAGTTCAGTCTCAATCTCAATGATGCCCAGATCCAAATGCCGCTTGCTCACATCCATAAGAATATTCTTCACGTTGCGCGCCAACAGACGCAGATGCTCATCGCTGCACAACGTCGCATTGCTCAAGTAGCGTATGTAATCCTCCAGATAATGGCTGTTGAAACTATCGCGACACGGTTCGCCACTGGCAAATTGCTGGTGGGTCAACAGCAGCTGATTGATCAGCCAATTGCGACCGCCCTTCAGCACCTCGATGGCATCCCGGACACATTGACGCCCCAGCTCAAAGTTGCGATACAACGGATAGGTGATGACACGGCGCAGAAATGCCACCAGCACATCCCGATAATTGTCGAACTGCTCGAAGTAACAGAAGAGCGGACACAGAATACTCCGTGTCCAGCCTGATTCGCAGGTGGGCTCATTGCTGGTCGTTCGCACATCATAGCAAATGGCCAGCACAATGCTAATCAGGCCAAAATCGATCTCATTCTGCGTCACAGCTGAGCATTCCTCATCGATTGTGGCTGTTGTCGTTGTTGTTGTGTTTGTGTTGCGACTGCATAGATTGTGCAACAAATGCGCCTGTTCCTGTGTCATGGACGTCTCGTAGATTTTGGGCTTGTAGCGCAACGGATTCTGATGTCCAGCTGGCACCTGCAGCTCCACAAAGTTTATTTTGTATTGATCACACGAGAAGCGTTTCAGCTCATCCGCAACGCGTTCCATGCGTCGCTGCAGCGGACTGAGGCGCTCCGGTTCGGAAATGCGGCACGTGGACTTGTCCAGCTGCAAAGAGGTGAATCAATCGATTTCTTCCATTGAAGGAGTAGCTTACTGTGCTCACCTCGTTGGCCAGGAGTGGACCACTGAAGCGGCTGGCGTAGCCATATCGAAATTGGCTAATCATTTTGTAGGTGCGCTCGTTGGCATCCACCTGCAATTGGCACTGTTCTGTTATGCGTTTCATTTTCCACTCGTGCACCAACAGCGGATCCTTCTCGTGAATGCTGTCCGTTAGCTTGGGCCGATTGAACAACGCTGCGAGGTACTCCTTGCGAGCTGTCTTTGGTTTGTGCATCATGCTGCTGCCTGCGCCGCTGCCAGCGGTGGCGCTGCTGCTGCCAGCTGTGACGCTGCCTGCGTCCCCGCCACTGCTCGCACTTGCAACTGGCGGCAGGCAGCGCAAAAACAGTTGATAGCAATTCTCCTGTGTGTCGTATTTGATATACAACGTCTTGAGTCCTCGCAAATCGAAAGTGCGACGACTGTGAAATCTGCAAATGGATAAATCGCGATAAGCTTTGTTTGCAAATATATATATGACTCACTTGTATAGCTTGACATCGGCATAAAAATATAAATCGTGGTCGCCAATAAATATGTCGACGTTCCTTATGCGATCCAAATTCACATGTTTCGAAGCAAGCGTCGCTGTCGTCTTCGCAGTTGCAGTCGTCGTCGACGTCAAAGTCGCCGTCGACATCGCTGTTGTCTTCGCAGTCGTTGTCGTCTTTGCTGTCTCCGTCGCTGTCGTTGTTGCTGTCGTCTTCTCCGTCTTTGTCGCAGTCACTGTCTCTGCCTCCTCACCCTGCGTCGCTGGCCGTACCCCTGTCCCTGTCACACAACAGCCCAGCTCCAGTGTTGGCGTGTTGGACTTTGGTTTTTCCTTGGCATGTGGATGTGGTATCATCACGCTGCACGTGTTGCCCACATAACTGTGTGTGATCTGTCCATTCAACATTTTACAATTTTACAAAACAACTGCTGCCTTTCAAGTATAAACAAAAAAAAAAGGAAGGAATTTTGTGTGAAGCAGGCAACTATCGGCGACAGGTTTAAGGAGGCAGGTCGATATATTATCGTTAACTAACTCTGTGCACGGTGCACCATCGCTGTTCACCAACACTGACCGTGTGACGCAAACACGAGCTGTAGATGGCGCTTTATGACTCTGGCGGCACTCGAAATGTGTATTTAAATCACAAAATATTCTCGCACATTTCTAACATGAATCTGTCTATTTTATTAATCGATTTAGAAATAGTGGAAATAAATAACTGATAACAATCAAAAGAGTGCTGCCAGCCGCCAAAAAAAAGTCACATAAATTCCAAAAAGGCCAAACCCAAAAAAAAACAAGAGAAAAATATGAAAAAAATGAAATAATGAGTAAATTTACAACTGTTGCTCTCAGCGCCTATTGTCGTCTCTGTCGCACCACAGAGCTTGCATGCTTTCTTCAACAACAACAACAATAACAAGATGTGATTTGCTTTATAGTTGTTGTTGTTTGTTTTTGTTTTTCTGTTTTTTTTTCTTCTTTTCTGGCTTGTTTCATGTTGACCCACTTTTCGTGGCAATACGTGCCGCAGCAGCAGCAGCAGCAGCGACGACTGCTGGCCGCACAGTGGGCCGCACTCATGGTGAAAGCTTGAGAGGCGCTTTAATGCTACGGTTTGAGTGTGTTTGTCACACTGTGCGAGCTGCAAAAAGTCATAAACTGAATTGCCAACAGGTTATGCTACAAGCGACGATTGCTGCTGCTGCTGAGGTCGCTGCTGCTGCAAACGCAGTCGTAGTAAAAAGGGCCATGACAGTGACACTTTTGAAGTTTGAGGTTAAATTGTCAATGCTGCTGTTGTTGTTGTCGCTTGTTGCTTGTTATTTGTTGTCTGTTGTTCGTTGTTCGTCTTTCGTTGTTGTTATTGTTGTGGTTTTGCTCTGTGTGTCTCAATATTTTCCACATATTTTCAATTGTTGCTGCTGCAATTCGTGTAGCATTCAAATTCAAATTCAAAAATACAAAAGACTCAGGCAACAAACTTGCATTAACTGTGCATCGTTTTTTTTGTTGGTTTGTTTTGTTTGTTTGCCACCACATGGCACAAAATTTTAAACGGCACACGCACAAAAATGCTCACATGCTTTTATTTAGTTTATTAATTATTTTCATATCTTCTATACACACACACGCAGACACACACAGAGACACACGCTCACATTCACATTCACATTTGAAAAGTGAAATTTCAAAGTAGAACAAGCAACAACAACAAGCACATCACGTACAACTGGCCGTGCCACGCAACTTGCCGAGAGGTTCCAATAAAATTGAGGTCACTTGTCGCTGACCAGTAGCAACCCACTCTCCACCCCCTTCTCTCTCTCTCTCCTCTCTCTTTCTCTGTCTGTTGTTAACCAATGTTGAATATATCCCGCGTCGCTTTTTATTGTCGCTGTTGTTGTTGTTGTTGTTAGTCGTCTGCCTTTAGAATGCGCTGCATAACAAGTAAATTAATTGCAGTCGCGTAGTCGCATTTTTCGGCTTTAACCGTTCTATGCCGGTTTTAGGCCAGGCCAACACAGGCCGTGTGTGCCATTAAAATGCACCACGAACTTGACAACGAAAATAAGCAAAAGCAAATGGAAATTATGTGCCTAATGCGAATTCTTAAGCTCCTCATGGGTCACTTTTAACTTATGGGCTGTGATTTATTAAAAAAAACCGATCACAGTTATAAAAAAATTTAAAATTAAGTTTTAAAATAAAGTTTCAAATTAGATTATAGAAAATAAAAAGGGAGAAATTTAATAAAAAGTTAAAAAAAAAAACAGAATTAAATAAATTATATAATTAATCTAATGATATTAAAATGTTAAATGGTCCAACATTTATTACAAGCTTTGGAGAAACCAAGAAAAAAGCCAATCAGATCAAGAATTGTTCAGCGTTAAATGGTGAACAAAATAGCAAAAGCGAAATGGACGTCTTATATAAATAAATTAATAGGCAATCCCAATATTTTCAAATTGATTTAAATTAATTATGCATATTATTTAAATAATCAATAACAATTGAAATCCATTTGTTTGTCTTATTTAAATTAATTTATAACAAAAACCTCTTTTTAAATGATATAAATAAAAAAATAAATTAATTATAAAAAAATTCCACTTTTTATATGGAATTATCGTTTCTTGAAATGTGAAGTATTTGTATAAAATGTCAATAAATCTATTAGACAAAAAACGTTCATTTCATACACTTGTACAACCTATTCCATAGAAAATTATATACATTTTATACAAGCATTGTCTTACTTATCTTGATTTATTATTTTATTATTATTAATATACCCTTGCATAGGGTATCCTCCATGACCCTATATAATATTAGTGAAAGAATATTAAATTACGTCATCAGCTTCTGTTTTAAAAATAAGAATATGCAAACACAAATTAAAGTTCTAATCGGCAGCGTATGCAAATTATAAATATTGTATCATAAATATTGATCAAAAATTTTTAGCTATCGAAAAAAATGTTGTTTAAAACTGAACTAGGCAATATTAATAAACTTACTATTTTATTTATTTATTTAAATTTGAGGAGCAATTGGACATTTTATTTATCTATTCACTTAATTTGGTATAAAAGTAGATCACAGTTCTTAAAAGGTTTGATTAATAATCAATAATTTAAAAGGAAAGTTACAAAATTAAAGAGAAGAAATTAGTTTAAATATTATAATAAGAAATATTGAAAGGATATAATAAATAAGATAACTCAGTTTACATATTTTAAAAGAACAATAAAATAAGAATATAAAAAACCGAAACTAACTAAAACCAAAACAATTTGATAATAAAAAAAAAAACAATTTAATGTGTTTATTAAATAACGTTTTGTAAATATTAACAATTACTCCTAGAATAAAGCGCAACCTCAGTCACTAATTTGTATCTGAAACGAGCGCGGCTCAACTCTAATTGCGTATTTCATAAGATTTTTCGATGTGCACTGTTTGCTTTTGCAGTTAATTAAAGTTAAAGTTGTAGTCGTATTCGTAGTTGGAGCAAAAAGCAAACTGGCACAGTTCTTAAATATTAATTTAATATAATGTAGGTATAGCCATGATTTATTCAGTCAAGAATCTTGGTCAGCCTAACCGACGAGGCATGAAGACGCCGCATTGCAAAATCGACACTACACTTGAAGTCTAAATTTCGGTTCGTATTACTCGTTATTACTATTTTTAGGACCGACAAAAAAATTAACTTAGTGCATAAATTATTAAATTTTGGATTATGGCTAGTGATTAAAATATTGCTAAAACAAAAGACACACATACACGTTGTAAACATTGCTAATTTATTTTCTCACTTACTCCGATAACTCCAACCTCCTCCCCATCTCTGTCCACCCCCCAAGCTACTTCCTGCACGCGAAGCACTTCCGTTCTGTTTTGGCAGCTCCAACTCGATGTCGAATTCAAAGTTGAGCTTTTCATGTGCATCCATCAAAGGCCCCTCAATCAAGAGCAAAAGTAATCAAAATAATAGCAACAACACCAATAACAACAGCAATAACAACAACCGCAGCAGCGACAAATCAAATAAAAAAACACAACAAAGCAAACAACAAACAAACAAATCATGCCGAGTGGAAAAGACAAAACCAAAGGGGAGCAGCAGAAGCATTCAAAGCAAGACAAATCTACGCATAGATGGATGGATAGAGACACAACACAACAGTGACAAGAAAATCGTTATAGAAAATAACAATAAATATATATATATATATGTATATACACACACACACACACACACACACTATAGACACAGATAAATATATATACACATATGTATAAAAATGGCATGGCAGCTAACAACAATGTTAGCAGCAATAGCAAAGCACAAAATAGAAATGGAGAGCAACTTTCACCCAAGGTCATTGTGTCTTTAACTGCGCCACAGCAGCACCAACAACATCAACAACAACAATAACAACAACAACGGCTGGACAATATGCGACAAAGTTAACTGAAGCAGCGGCAGCGGCAGCGGCAGTGACTGCGACGTCACTGTTTCCATTTTGCCAACTTTATTGTAATGTCTATCCATTTGTCTGTCCCCCTGTCCGTCTCTGTGTCTTTTTTTTTTTGTCAACTAGACAACGAGCGACGCAGCAACGCAAGCAGCGCTGCTGGGGGCAAGCTATGCTGTCCGCCTACTTTTATCACACCCAGTATCCAATAAAAATGTTAAAAAATTGGCGTTATTAAGTTTACTACTATTTCCGATCATATATCGTATCGTGGAATTACCTACTTACATTTGACGAATCAAGAAAATCCGTTTCTTACCTATTTTTTTAAGTCTTTGACAAAAACTTTTAAGCTGACGTGATTAAAGCTCCAAGTTGGGTTTTTCACTTACACTAAAAAAAAAAGAAGGACATTTTCCGTCATTTTACAGGGTTACTTGAATTTTTTACATTTTGTTACTTGAATTTTTATTAAACATCAGTATTTTGAGATTTCACATGTACAAATATTTTTACTGTTTGTTATTCCTTTTCCGTATATAAATTGTATATTATTTCCTAAAATAAGAACAGCTTTCTAGAAAAAAAGCCATTTTCTACATTTAATTTTGAAGAAAAAGACTGACATAAATATGGGTTCAATAATTTGTTTTTTCTAGCTTTCCAAGCAGACAAACAGATTTTTGTCAAAACAATAAGGAAAAATGTTCATAAAATATATTTACACAACTCTTCTCCACATAAGAGCTTATCAAATTCCTGACCTGAAGTTAACAATTGAGCTTCAGAGTCTTTAGTTGGTGTATCAGTAAATCAGAGAGTCAATTAGTCAGTCAATCATTATGAGCTTCAATAACAGAGGCACTAAATTTGGGCGTTTAGTTCATTAAATACCATAATTCATAAAACTTTGTAATTTATAAGAATTACACACTGATTTTTATAATGACGTCCATAAGTTCGTGAAGTTCTTTTTTTCCATTAGGCCCATCAAGATTATATTCAAAGTTGGGTATAAAATATATCAAAAGATACAAAGCAGCAACAGAGATTAAAATTAGATCTGTTTATTTTAAAACCCACATAGTTTTTGATTAGAGATGTTTGTTTAATATATAACAATAATAATAATAATAATAAAAACATGAATATGCCAAAGATACCTATAACCTCTAACCTGCAACCTGTTGCAACATATTTTAAGTTTACAAGTGAGAACCGAAAAGTAACTTAAACAAGAAATAACTATCTTGGACACGTCGCCGTAGTTCATCTGCTGACATCTAAATTTCAATATTCATTTTATGCGACAAAATTAGTACACTTTCTTCATGGGCTAAAATACATTACCTGTTATATTATGAAATTGAGCGAACCTTCATTTAGATTGAGAACATTTGATACGATTGAATTTTTGTTCGTAGTGAAATTCAAATAAAGCTTCCACTTGAAAACTGAGATAGTTCTGTGTAACTTAACGTGGACTACATTTAACCAAACTAGGTTTACTTAATTGTATACAATGAAGATGCATGGGAAGATTTATCAGTTATAGCACCCACGCCCATTACAAGTCATATTTATCCGAAATGCGGTGTCAGATTGGCCACCAGAATCGTGGCCCGAAAGTGGGTCGCTCTTAGACTAAATGATAAGTGCCTACGACAAAGATGGCCAAGATGAAATGAGTAGAAAATTACATTTAATTGGAATAAAACTCAATTATAAAAATACCAAAAACATGGAGAAAGATATGCCAAGAAGAAACTGAATGATAAACGAATTACGATAGATGGTATTGTTCGCTTTGAGTGCCGGCAAAATGTTTGCCAGTTGTTAATATTTTAGTTTGACCTTTGACACGGGACACAGACAAGCACGTAACACATTTTGATTAGAACAAAACGTGGACACTCTAAATGGGGAGAGAATGAACGCGGCACAGGGAGAGGTGAGAGTCGGAGTGGCGGAGAAAGATGGGATACAGAGTCAGAGTCAGAGTCAGAGTCAGAGACATTGCCATGATATTGCATAAATTTAAGTGCCACAGATATGAGGCACAAGATACAGAAACGAGTTACAGATACATGCAAGACGCTGAAACGAAGCCAAAGCAAAAGCAACATAGAAATGCGGATGCGATGCGATGCGATGCGAAGCGATGCAAACTATATATACAACATACTCCAGACTCGTATTCGTGGAGCGAGATGAAGCTGAAGCTGTAGCTTGAGATGTAGCTTGGGCTCCATCTCGGTGAAAGAGCATGCGACCGGGCAAAGTATCTTTGTATCTCATTGCCGCGTCGCTGGCTGCCCGGCCAGTTAACATTTCGAATCCGTTGTGTGGCTGCTTCGTGCGGTTCTTCAGCGATGGAAAAAAACGAGTCTGGAAATTGGGTCAGTGGCACAGTATGCATGGCATTCTGTGTGTGTATTCGTGTGTGTGTGTGTGGATTGGCGTGAGTGTGTGTGTTGGTGTGTATGTTTGTGTGGGCTTTTGGTTTGCTTTTAGCTCTTTCTTCTTTGCATTGCTTTCTTTGCGGCGGCATTTGTGGTCAACATAATGATTCTTTCTGACTTGTCGTTGGCTCGACTCCGGATTGACTTGGTTTGGTTTGCTTGGCTCTTTTTCTATCTTTCTTTTTTGTCGCTGTCTTTAGCTTACCGCATATTTTACCATAGTCAGAAACAGAGATAGAGACTGAGTTAGAGCTGGAGCTGGAGCTGTGCCCCCTACTCGCACCTACTCTATTTTATGTGCGGCTTTCATGTCAGGTTCCTTCTTTTGCGACTCTGCTGTGGCAAGCGGCACATGCGTGCGGCATTAGCAATGCGGACAACATTGTTGCCACCTAATCAACCAAATCACTCAAACAATTTTGCCTTAATTTGACATGCGTTGCGTATGCTTCATTTTGGATTTTTTTTTTGTTTGGGACGAATTAAGAATACACCACATCATGTCTGGTTTTTCAAATATTATTATTTTTGTACATTTAAAATGACAAAATTTTGTATTTCTAGAGAAGTGAACATTAAAAAATAGAAAAATAAATATTTACAATCGAATTGCGTTGAAGTACAAATGGATTTGTGCAGTTTTCTTGCACTTGAATAAATAAATTGCACAAAACTAAAATAACATTAAATAAGGATAGATTTATGTTTTCTTAAATTATGCATTTTTTGTTTTGTTTTTCGTTTTTTTTTCAGTATTTTTCTTGAATTTTATATTAATTTTTACTTAAATAAATAGCTTCAACAATATTCGGTTTTGTTTAAAAAATATGCGCTAGTTTTTGTGGTCATAAATAATTTGCAAAATTTTTGCACGAACATAAATATATTTAAAATATGATTTATTGGACATATATTTGCATGTTTCATTTATTGTAAGATTAACATAAACTTTAGCAACAAATTTTTAAAAAACAAATTAACAACATTTAAATGTAAGTGTAATAAAATTTATTACTTGAGTACTTTACTATTTCATATTCATTATTATTATTATTACTATTATCAGTATGTATTTAATTTGCTTTGTGTGTTTTCAATTTACGTTCATTATTTGTAGTTGCTATTTTAAATAATGTAACAATTATTGTTATTTTGCCAAGCCCGCTTCAACTTATGCTAATTATATTGATACAGATATATATAAATATATATATATACATATATAGTACATATAGCATATAGACATACATATAGTATTTTATATGTGCTCTGCTTTTATTTGTACATTTACATTTATTTAATATTATGTTTGTAATTTATAATTGTATTGCTTTTAAAGTTTTCAACACGATGAGGTACATAATTTATACAAATTACAGACATTCACAATTCTTAGTTACTAAACGAACATTCAGCTAGAGATTAACTAAATTCTAGCTACATTTACAACTACAATGCATATAAATATTAATATATAAGTATATATATATAAATATATATATATATTCATATATGTATGTTTATTAATTATTTATTATTACGTGTTTACCTGTGCCAGGGCCTAAGGTGCACGAAGCGCGCAGGTTTGCATCAAAACAGAACAACAGTTGCAAAAAGACAATTGGACGCTTCGTTGTTCTTACATTGCTTGTGGTCTCTTTGCCTTGGGAATAGCCCTACTGAAATACACATATGTATATGTTTAAGCTATGGGAAGATATGTAATATGGCATGACTACCATTTGTACCAGATATGCTATACTCCACAAAGAATTCTGCCAAATACCAGTTTTTCTTCTTCTTGATTTGATCTCCTTTTCTCCATCACAGTTTGATTGCTGAACAATACAAATGTGATTTTTCTGATTTTGACTATACAGACATTATATCAAATACTTATATACTTTCATAACAGAATTTTGATCTATGCTTCTTCACACAAATTCTAAAACTAAAACGTTATTTTCAGACTGATTTTAATTATGTGAAGTGTTTTTATTCTTCACAAAAATTTCGTCTTGATACCATTAAATAAAATAATATATTTCCTTCCTTCCTAATTTACAAAATCAATTTCCTCAGTTTGGTGCCCATGGTATATTCTTTCTATTTTAGTTAAACTGGTTTCTTATAGATTTTTTTCAGAGTGCTTGAGTCTACGAATTGAATTGTGGAGGTAGTAGGTTGATATTTTTTATATATACCAATAAAAGGCACAAATTGACCTGGATAATATATAAAATAGAAATTTGTAATTTTAAATGGATTCTAAAAATATGAATATTGTTTTCTAGGCAGTTAAATAAAATTGCACCCATTGCAAATCCAATAGAAATTCTCTATTCTCAACAGCAAATAATTTTCTAGGCAGTTAAATAATATTCCTTGTTTAGCAAAATCTGTCAGAAATTCTATATTCTCAATGGAATTGAAACCTTTTAGTTTTCCAGGCAGTTAAATAATATCCCATGAAGCTACGCAAAATGTTTCGACTACTTGTTACCCATAACCCGAATTATGACCCCGGCCGGATCGGATATTGACTGATATTGAGTAGCACAGTGCAAAAGAGATCAAAAGCAACCAACAACAACGAATCTCAAGTGCTATGTGTATGGCGTTGCTCGACAGCCAGACAGTCGAACAGTCGACTGGGCGGACAATGTTGCTCCTGGTCAAGCAAGGCCAGACACGGGAAGATGGCGCACCCCAAGACCCAAACATGCACAGCCTGATCGCCAATTGGACGCAATTGATGACCAGACTGTGGTGGGCGGGTGACTTGTGGGCGGGCACTTTCCGTTTAGCAGAGAGCCTACCACACACAGAGGAGACCAGCTGAGATCGAGATGAGATCGAGCTGTGCTCCTTTTGTGGGCTCCCAGTTGCTGTTGTTATGAGTGTGAGTGTGTGTTGGTGTGTGTGTTTGGGTATGCAAATCACCGCAGTCGCGGTCAGTCACGCCCAATTCTCTTATGTATCTGTTGATGTTTGAGCAAGTGCGCCTTCTGACGAAAGGCCTTGGCACACACATCACACCTGAAGGGCTTCTCGCCGGTGTGTGTGCGCAGATGCACCTTAATGTTTGACTTATTCAAGAAGCCCCGATTGCAGATGCTGCACCGATGCACGGGCTTCTCCTTGCCAAGCAGACCACTCAGATCGCTGGCACTGAAACTGCCGACGCCCGTTGGTGACATCGAGCTCAATTGTGCCCCCCCAGCATTGACCTGATCCTGCAGTTGTCCTTGGCTCGATTGCTGCTGCTGCTGGCTGGACTTCTTTTGCGCTCTGGAACGCTTGGCCTTGGGCGTGCCACTCGGTGCATTTGTGGTGCTTGTCGTGTGCGGATAACTGCTCAGCATATCCGGACTGCAAAGACCCCCATCCTTGAGCACCGAGCCGGACATGCCAACTCCTCCGCCTCCGGCTCCATTCTGTGCCAGCTGATAGCTCGCCTGTTGCTGCTGCTGCTGTTGCTGGTTGGGATTGGTTGGATTGTTGGTCAGGTAGCGCGGATTGATCATCAAATTGTTGTCAGTGGTGCTGACCACAGAGCCGGGTGGACTGCAGCTGCTGCTCGCCGCCGACAGCTCGTTGCAATATGAGGTAGAACTAGGCGTCTCTGTTTTCAGCGTTGTCGATGATGACGACGATGTCGTCGCTGCCGTCGTCGCCGTTGATGCTGATGATGTTGAACCACCTGGCGCCGAGCCCTGAACTGGTGGTCCGTGCTGCAGACGATTCTGCAGCAGCGGCATATAGCCATGGCTGAGTAGACTCTGCAACGTGGAGCTGCTCGCATGATGCACGGGCAACGGCGAATGGGGCAACATGAAATCACTGAGTGCATCCTGCTGTGAGACGAGCACCTTGCCCTCATTCTGTATGCAATTGCCATCGATCCACGCATCCAAATCCATCCAGCTATCCCTCGTATCATTCCCCTCGTCCTTGTCCAGCTGATTGGGCACGGTGGTGTCCGCAATCGCTGAACCAATAATTGCTGCAATATCATCGATGCTGTTCATGTCCACATATTCCGTTAGATCCTTGTAGATGCGCACGCCGCTGTTGTGCAGCGAGTCGGCCACCTGATCGATGGGTGTCAGGGTGGAGCCACTGCTGGCCAGCGAACTGGAGCCATTGCCATTGTTATTATTCGCACCACCCACACCGGCCCCTTGGGTATTCATCACACAACTGTCTGCCACGGAATAGAGCTTAGAATCTAACTGACTATCGGCAAAGAGTTTGACATCGTTGAGGCAGACATCCGCATCTGTGCTAAGCACACTCTCCGGCAGGCACGTTGACGAGGAGACAATATTCTGATCCTGTGAGGAGTTGACAACACCACCACCACCACCACCACCTCCTCCTCCACCCGTCCCACTGCCACACGTCGTCGCTGCTGTGGTGGAAGTGGGATTTGCATTTGGATTCTGGGATTGCTGGTGTTGCTGTTGCTGCTGGTGGTGTTGCTGATGGTGTTGTTGTTGCTGGTGGTGTTGCTGCTGCTGCTGTTGCTGCTGCTGTTGGTGGTGGTGATGGTGGTGCTGGTGCTGGTGATGCTGCTGATACGCACTCTGTATGTAATTGTTGTTGCTCTCGTCGGGCAGCCGCTGGGCAATCGCATGATAATGATGCCCAGAGATGCCATTGATGGACAGGTGACCCGTATACCCGGTGAACGGAGGCAGTGGCTTCAGATCGGAGAGTGCATTTAGCGAGGAGCTGTTCAACAGCAGATTGTCGAGCACATCCAGCGAATTTTTCTGATCTGCATCGCTGGGCAGGGAGTCCAAGTCGTGCTCGAGCAGCAGCTTGTGCCCGTCGAGCAGATATTGATCCTGGCTGCTGGTCTGCGTCGGTCCCCAGCAGGGACTCATCAGTAGGCTTTCGACTTCTGATTCACTTGGGCCGTTCATGCTGCACAACTTCATTGTCAGTTGACCCAATCGATGGATAGAAATTTGTGTTTGTCTTTCACGCCGGAAATTTCAAATGTTGAATCCTTTGAAGCTGCAACAGACAGAAAGAGCGAGAGAGAGAGAGGGAGAGAGAACATTAATGATAATAATTATATCAAAAATTATATTTAAGGGGGTCTAAGAAGCTACGATTATCAGACCATGCAAATTCTACACATTTCCATGCACTCACAAAAAAGATGCCCTTGAAATTGGGAAATGAAAATACTGAAATTCTGCAGTGCTCACTTTATTTTTAATTTTTTTTTTTTATAAAGAGGAAAAACCGATTATAAACATTAATGAATTTGATTGGAAAATGTGGTAAATTGGCTCTGGGTCACTTGATAATATTTAAAGTATATAAAAGAGGTAATGCAAAATTTTCTAAACGAATTTTTTAACTAGTATAATAAAATTTCCAAGTTTAATGTTGAAAAGGGTAACGCATTTGAATATATTTTTTTATTACTCTGAGTTTTTGGGAAAAGTTGAATTTTGAGAATTGTTTTGGGAATATTTTTGTTGATATTACAGTTTCTATTTTTATAAAATTAATATCATAATTTTTGAGCATTTTTCAAATTTCAAAGCATATTCTTTCTGAGTGATTTTTTTTGTAAGTAAGCTATGATATTTTTAGCAGTAATGATATTTTGCTCGTAAATAAATAAATAAATTAAAAATAATTTAAGAATTGGGTAGAGGGTTGTAAATAAGTTATAAACTAAAAAATCACTGCACTACGTTTGTTATAAAGTTAAATAAAAACTATGACAATGTGAATTTTATTGATAAAATGTAAGATTACTTTTCTTTAAAAAAGGTTACTTAAGTGAAGTTTCAAATCAACTCGCATTAATTAAAAACCAAACTTTGAAATTGAATTAAAAAAATAATGTTAATAAGGCGTTGATAAATGTTAATCAAAAAACCTCGTTTTAACTAATATGAATGGGATGAATACATTTTTTCCAAAAAAAAAATAGAGCCAGTTCAAAGCTGAGAGATACATCAAAGTCGAAGCCAATAGGAATGTTGGCTTATTCTAAGCTCAGCTTACAAGCCAACTTCCGTTATCTGTTAAGATATCTGGCAGATCAACAGGTGCTCGCCACAAGTGGCAGCAACACTTGCTGACAGCTTGCAATGCACACACAGATAACCAAGTTGGGGGCCCTAATTCGGTCTAAATGCAAAGCTGAATACGATTAAAAACTATTCCAAATACGAATATTAATCGTAGACCCTTTTCGGCCGCCTGCGGTCGAAGCTGCATATCAAAAAAAAAAATTTCCACGCGGCTTTTCACATTTTACAGTGGAAGATGTGGATCTAAAACAAAATAAAAATGTTTTAGGACAAAATCAAGTAAGACAACAAGAAATCGATGGACAGAATGGCCAATAATAATTTCCAAATGGTATTTGGGTCACAACATTAATAATCAGTTAAAATTAGCATATAAATTGGTAGAAATAAACGCAGCAGCAACAGCAGAAGCAGCAGAAGCGACGCAGCAGAATTTCAGCTAACAAACATTGTTGGTCTGTATTTGGATTCGGCTAGAGTTTTTACACTCAGCCAAAAAGATATGAGGGACCGACGAATGAAAGTACAACAACAACAACAACAACAATATGCGACACAGGTGTAGAGGTGCCCGCCAATTCCCCGTTCGCCTATAACCGAACTGAAAAGACCAACAACAATTGCGACGGCGAGCATAGAAGTAGATATTTTTTTTAGTTTTTTTTTTTTTTGGAGAACCAAACGGTAAAGCAAATGAGCCAACAAAATAAAAGTCTTTTTCTCAAACAGTTAAGTTTTTTTTTTTTTGAGGCTTGGCCACTTTGATCTATGAGTGTGTGTGTGTGTGTGTGTAAGAAGAAAGCACACAAAGCGCAGAGCCAAGAGGCAAGTTGGCCAATACTAAGCACATATTTTACATGCTTGCAGCTAGACTCGTTTGGCATTGGTCACTCTGAGCTAGAGAGAGAGAGAGAGAATGAGAGAGAGCGAAAGAAAGAGAGAGAGAGAGAGAGACATGGAGAAAGAGAGAGAGCTCACAGACAATTTCGCTTTCAACAGGTTGTCGTAGCAACATGTTGCTAGCTCAGCCTGCGCCAAAGCAACAAAAGAGCCAACACAAGAGACCAGCGCCAGCCCCAGCGACGGCGACTGCGGCGTTTGCGTCAGCTAAGCATGCGCAGCTAAGCGTGGCAGCGGCAGTGGCAGCGGCAGCAGCCAAACTACCGTTACACGAGAGACCTGCTGACATACTTCCGTGTTCGGCAGAGCCGAGACGAAGCCGACGCCACGAAGCTTCGACTAAAGCTCAAAACTCAAGCTGAAGCTGAAGCTGACGATGTAGCTGAATGGCAGTTTTGCTACCATACGATAAAAAAAAAAATATGGCGGCCAGTGCGTCTAGGTTTGAATTGAAGTCGTTTTGATTAAATACACCTGCCAAATAATTGTGAAAATTATGTGGGAATCACTATCTTTGTTGTGAGAAATATGATAAACATTAATTTTAATATGGAAAATCACGTTTGTTGTATTTGTTTATCTAAAATTATTCATTTGACAGCCACCAAATAATTATGTGGGAAATATGGAAAATAATAATTTTAAAAGGCAGCAATTGTTGCATATTTATATACAATAATTTGATAAACACCTACCAAATAATTATATAAAATCAAAATAATGTCGAAAATATGACAAATAATAATTTTAATAGAAGAAAATACCTATTCTTGTATTCATATATTTATATATTTTTACAAATATTTAATCGAAAATAGTGTTGATGCTACATTTAGCTCATATGAATTAAATTCGAAATATGAATACATTTTTTCAAAATAGTTTGTTTTAAATACACAGTTTTTATTTGTAATATTTTAATCTTTATCTTTTTTCATAAATATATATATATATACACATATATATTATAAAACTACCAATTTTTTAGTATATTATTTTCAATGGAATGATTTTAACCTGTAAATTGCTAATTCCACAAAAATATTAATAATACGTATTAATTATTCTCAATACTGTATTTGGCCTAATGTTAAGCTGATTCCAATAAATATTTTTATTATTTTCTTTGTAATTTAGTAATTTAGTTACTCTTTAATTTGTATTTGGGTTTCTTCTTCTTTTTTGTTGATTTTTACTCTTCTTTCTCTTTGCTCGTTACTTAAATGTTTTTGGGGGCAACATTTCGCAGGTTGTTGTTGTGATTTTGATTTTATGATCTTATGAATTTTTGTTTTAAAAATGAAACTGCCACTTCGTTGTTAGAATTGTGTTTTGAGTGACGTTTTGGATGCGCCCACAAAATTGGCGTGAAATATTTTATAGGCATTCTGATTCTTTTATTGTTTGACTGAGCGTCACTTTTAACACATTTTTTGTTTTTATTGTTCTGGCTGTGGCTGGCTACTCAACATTTTTTTGTTGTTTTATTTTTTTGTTTTAATGAGCAATGTAACGGTTGTTCGCTGGTCTTTTTGCATTTGAATAGCACCAGCACCAGCACCTACACACACACACACACACACACATAGCAATTGCGTGGGTGCGCCGCACAACAACAAAAGCAAACAATGCGCCTCTTTTGTAATTTAAGCTTGTAAAGGGGATTTTCAGATTATGGTCAGCGATCTACACATTTTGGACTCGGATTCGGGTTCGAATTCGGGTTGGGGCATTGCTGTGGGCATTATAATTACGATTTCAGTGTGTGTTTTTTGTAATGTGATTATATGTGTGTGTGTTGGGCGATTTTAACGGGCATTTGGAATGAATTAGTGCAAATTTTTGACAACCGAGTGATTTTATGACCCTGAGCTGGTAGCTTTGGATGTTTTTTAATGAGTAACTCGGTCAGTTCGTGGGCGCACTTGAAATGCCATTAAGCATTCGAATTGTGAACCAGCTGCGACTTCTGCATTTTAATTTAAGACATATTTTGAATGAATGAATTGATTTCAGATATTAAATCTGAAATCTACCCAATTCCATATGTGCTGTACTTATTTGTAGAGCCTGTTTCAACTCTCATATAAAGTATTTTTCTAAAAAATACATTTTTACAGAATCATTTATTCAAAATATATTTAAATATTAAACTTTTACGGAATAATTTATTTTTATTTTATTTTTTAAATAAGGTTTATATGCCTTTCAGATAGGCTTTGTTTATTCTACTTTTCAGAAAGATTATTTAAAATATGATTTCAGATAATAGATTAAGGGCAAGCCTTTTTATTCTAAGAAATTTTTTTCAGGAAATTTAGGAAATGTTTTGTAAGCTTATAATAATAATTGTAAAAAAACTGTCTTGCCTCTTATAGTGATTATGCGTAAATGGGTAAATAATGCGATTATGGGTAAATCATAGTTTTCTAATTACTTTACATATTTTTGCTCAGTGTTGAAATGCAGGAACATTTTCCGCCTAGATTTTTTAATTGCTTATCTACTTGTTCTCCCCAATTTGTGTGCACCCACACGTAGTTTAGCTAACCAGTTTCCACTCTACCAGGTAAATGCATTTCAAAAACTGAACCATCAACTTTAAGAACCATCTCAGAGGCACTGAAATGAAATGAACTTTTCAACTTCAACAACTAGAAACAGAAACCGTCAACAAGAACCGGCAACATGCCTTCCAACAGCTGCTGCAAAAAAAGCCAAGAAATTGAGTTCTTAGCTCTGCCCGGTAAATGATAAAAAGAGAAGTTCAAAACTGAGACTTCAGCTGGGACTTTAACGGAAATTGAGCTTAACCTTTGGCGGCAATCAACTTCCGTTTAAATGTTCGAACACGAAGCAGCGCCAAAGGTCAAAACGTTTTTCCACAGCCAAACACCAAATGGCCAACAGAGAACAGCCAAACACTTTTTTTTTCGATTTTCCCCTGTACTCAGTGTCCAAAATGAAAAGAAAAATCAGGTCGCGAGTTGGCGTCGGAAAAA